ATTAATTAATAGTTGGCATTCTAAGGCATAATAATTATTTATAAAGTTCTTTATCCAATTTATTATTAAATGAAATTAAAATAGAGGAGATTAGGTAGAGACTAGAGGGTATTTCGATAATATCCCGCCCCTCTATAGGGTATATAGGGTTGTTGGCACCAGTTTTAAAACCGAAAATTTTGAATTTCTTGCTAAATAATTGACCGTTTTTATGAAATGTTACAATTGAAAGCTGATTATCAGAAAATTAGTTATTTTATAAGAATTCCTTAAAAAATTGACGGATATTTATCTGAAACTTAAAATGAAAACCGGGTTTTTTTTAATTCACCCAAAACCTAGATTAACTTTTAATATCCGGTCGCCAACAACTTTCGTAGTAAAGTAAAGCAGCTGGGTTATAGCTATTTCTCTCCTTTAGCTAGTGCAAAAGGTTATTAGGCGGCTGGGAGCGAACCAGCATCTTCAGTAGACCGGACTGATGTGTTAGCCATTACACCACGCCGCCTAATGCATAGCCTTAGGAATTAAATAGCTATGTTCTTTACAGTGACTTATTTAAGATTTGATCAAGACGTATATCGTCCAAAATTGAAGTTACAAAATCGAGATGTTGAACATCTTAGAGTTAGGTCTCCAGAATTGTTTTACACTGCTGAATAGATCGAGTGTTATTTTATTCTAAAAATTCTAACACCTTCATGAAGCTTAGAACAAAAACCCGATTTTCTTCATTGTTTCCCAACCAACAATTTTAGTTTTTTTCTACTATTTTACAAAATTAGCTTTAATACCCTTGGATATTAAATGCATCCACTCCCCCTCCTATTTCGAGTAAGAACGGGATATGAACAAAGTATTGAATAGGGGACCGGTTTTAGAACCGAAAATTTTGAATTTCTTGCCAAAAAATTGACCGTTTTTATGAAATTTTAAAACTTAAAGTCGATTATTTAGGCAAATCAACGATTTGTTAAAAATTCCTCTTAAAACAAACGGATGTTTATATAAAACTCCAAATGAAGTTAGTTCAGGATTTGACCAAGAAGTTTTTTCAGTTAGATCCATTACAAGAATTTTAGTTATAAAATCGAGATGTTGACTATCTTAGAGTAAGGTCTCCAGAATTCTTCTATACTGCTGTATAATAAATTGTTATTTTATTCTAAATATTCTAACTGCTTCACGAAGCTTAGACCAAAAACCCGATTTTCTTCGTTGTTTCCCAACCGACAATTTTAGTTTTTTCTAATTTTTACAAAATTAGCTTTAAATAAATTACCTTTGCATAATAAAAACTAAAAGATGGCTAAATGCTAGTTCTGCTAAAAATAATGCAAAATATGGTTAAAAATAGTAATAATTATACCTTGAATTTATAACTATTTTGTGTTTATTATAAAAATTTTTATTGGAGAGAAGGTTGGAAGACTGGAAGGCAAACTAAGGAAAACTCTCCTCCGAAGGGAGAACATGAAACCTTACCAAGTTTCTGCTTCACTTCTTGTCCTACTAAATTTGATTCGGTGAATTATAAGTACATAAGTTGCTATAAAATTTCAAAATGGTTCCTAAAACTTTATTTATTAAAAAATTTATAATTTAATAAAAATAAAATAAATAAATAAGGCAAATCATAAGACAATAAGCATGCAGTTGTTTACGTGTAAAAGGAGCGTCTATGGAGGGAGGGGAGAGAAGGGGAGTGGGAGAAGATTTGGCATTGTTAAAATCATTCCCTTTTCCCCATCCATCTCCCCATTTTTATTTTTTCTTTATCCCCTCATCTACCCCCACCCCCACTCAACCATACAAAAAATCAATTACAACAATGGAAATCCTCCTGACATTTATTGGGATTTCAGCTGTTTTAGGTAAGTGTTTTAGACAAACATTGTTTTATTATTTGTCATAAACATCCAAAAAATATATACAAATAGTATAGCTATCCCTCAGGGAGCTTGCTCAGAAAGTGTCTACGAAGCTGAAGCCGGAGCCATGATTCTAGATGGATCAGGGCCTAACCTATCCATCATATACCGTATTTATTCTAATAGGACCTCCTGTGGTTCTATTTCAACCCCTCCATTTCTGGTGGTGATATTAAGAACGTAGGTAGAGCCGATCCTAGAAGGATCAGGGCCTAACCTAGCCATCATATGCCGTATTTATTCTTATAGAAACTCCGGTGTTTCTATTATCCCCCTCCATTTTGGGTGGTTTTTTGTTCTATAAGAGACTGGATCTATTAAAATAAAAATGCCAAACAGTTTTAATTCAACCATTAAAGTTAATTAACTTTAGCTGATTCATCCCAATCCGATGGATTTAATTTTGCAAGCATGAAAATGATCGGAATAAAAAATGTAAAATATGTGCCTCTTATATCTCCTGAAGAGCTGAATGAATTTTTTGATGAATTTGGTTGGCATTTTTTATAATTTTGAAATTACTAAAAATTTTCCAATTTTTCTCAGCGAAAATTCATCCTTTACATAAGCTTACATTCAACGAAGCAAATCGAGTTTTACAAGACATTTCAAAGGAAATTAACCATAAAAACGGCAAGCTAGAACTTGAGCGGAGTGAAATTAATGAGGTAAACTTTACTGTTTGAGGGGGGAATTAATATGTGGGTAATTAATCTTGCTTACCACTTAAGGGGACAATTAATCTAGGGAACAAGTTTTTGATGTTTGTAATTTGGAAGTTTGTTAGGGCGTTTAGTGGGGGAACTATTGTTTCAGCCTATCGCTGAAACATTAAGCAATAAAAGTTGCGTAATTATTTGAGGGAGGGCAACTAACAAGGGTATCTAATAGAGGGCAACTAATAAAGTGTGTTCTAAATGCCAATACAGGCGGATAACTTTATTCATATTTATTTTTCAAAAATTATAAAATTCCAAAGAAAAGGGGGTCTACTGACAACGTTGGTTAACAATTTGAAAGTTAATTACATAAAACTAAAAAAGGCTTTATATGGCCCTATGCACTATTTTGCCCTAGTTTTACCGTTCTGTATTACCGTTTTTTCTCTAGAATAACCCCAGGGGGTTATTTTTAAAAAATTTTGTGATTTTATAAATGTGTCACGAAATGTTTTTTAGAGCAAAAGCGAGAAAATAGGAAGTTCTTCAAATGGAAAAGATTTAGTAGAGGAAAAAGTGGCTCCAAAAAATCACAAAATTTCACCTAAATCGCCTGGTGGCGGGAAAACAAAGTTTCAAACTTATCATGAAAGCAAATATGCAAATGATGCGGAACTTGAAACATTCATTGAAAGCAAAGGGGACATTGAGAAATGCCACCAAATAGTTTTTGTGCTCAAATATTTTGTTTCCAAATTTGCAAAGCATTTTACTACATGTATAATCTCAAAATTTTTTTGTTGTGATTTTAATGAAAATGAGATGAATGAAATTTATGACTTTATTAGAGAATTGAACGAAAATTTGTTGCATTCTTGCGAGTTTCTGAGGAAATGGACTTCAGATTTAGCCCGTCATTCTGTGCATAAAAAGTAAGGATATTAAAACTGAAATTAGCTTTTGAGGATTTAAGTCAAGGTTTTCAAGTGTCTGGTAAAAAAGTGGAGTGAGTGAAAATTTAAGGGAAGGTCCAAAATATGTATTAAGTTCAAGGGTTGCGCTCCGAGCCTTCGGGATCGAAAATGTCGGGGTCGGGCTTAGTCGGTGTAGTGGCGCAACCCTACTATAAAGGGTAACCCCCCCCCCACGATAAAGGCCCCCACACCCTCCTATCTCTCCCTGCTTATGTGAAGGTCCGTCCATCTTGTTATAATTTCAAATGTCTAGGTGGTGATGCCTTATCTTTTTACCTTATCTATAAAGAATAATGTAGAGTTCCTTCAATTTTCGGTAGTGCACTGAACTTGTTGAGTAACTTCTCATAACCTAATTTACCATTGGCATTTCTATAATTAAAATTAGAGTTGATCGAGACGAGACCGATATTCTCGGCTTTTTTCCAATATAGGTCTCGGTTTTTTCATTCTCGGTCTCGAACCCGATACCGATATTCTCGGTTCATTTCTCGGAGAGAAACCATACTGTATCGGTCTCGGTATCGGGTTTTTGAGTATCGGTCAATCTCGGTCTCGGGTTGGCCGATACCAGTATCGTTTTGATCAACTCTAGTTTCAATAAAAAGTGCTTTTTATTTCAGAATAAATGGTGTAACTAAGGCATCAAGTGATCATCTCAAATTAAAGGATGAAATTTACAAATTATATAAAATTTATACAGACCTCAAAAATATAATTTTGAGTGATGCTCTCCATAAGGAAGCTATAAAAAAAGGTATAGAATCTCGTGCGCCTCGAGCATTTGAAAGTTATAAGCTTCACAATTCTCTTTACATGAATCATGGAAGAGTTTCTCCTGATCGCCAAATTGATGAAAAGAAACGTGAGCAACAAACAAAGAATGCTTTATTCAAAAATTTAAGTGGTATTGCAAAACAGGCAGGGATTTTAGAAGCCAAAATCGCTAAGTTTATTGAGGAGTTGAAGAAGGATAAGTCGTTGAACGCTAAACAAAAAAATAATGTTTTTCAAAATATTAGTGATGAGAAAATGGAATTTCTCAGACAGAATTTTGTGGAGATTCTGAAAGATATGGAGGTAGAGAAAACTTAATAAAGGAGTTAACAAAAGCTATATACAGGAGCACTACCACTGAGCTACTGGGGCAGCTAATGCTTCCTCTTTTATCCTTTTTAGATCGTTTAACCCCCGCCTAAGCGTTTTATATGCTGCTAATCCTTACATAAGAGCCTGATAAGTAAATTTTTGGAGCTTTCAAGCTTGAATCAAAACCTTTTTGTTCTCCTAATTGGGGGAGGGGGGGGGGTTTCTACACTGGTTTCTACACGCTATATTGACACTGACGCAATGTAATTAACTAAAATACTTTTCAAAATCTTCTTCAGGATGACAACACTAACACTGACGATCATGAGGACACTAATTACAGTTCAATGTCCACAGAATTGGTACATGACCATGTCAATAAATTTATCGAATCATCCCGTGAATTTGTTGGATATTGCCTTTCAAATCGCTTTGTAGAAGCTTTTAAAGGGAACCATGAAGTTAATATTGGAAAGGAAAAATTTAAAGAGATCCCAAGCAAATACTACGAAAAAAGGATTGCCGAGTATTTTAAAGAGCAAAAATTTGAAATTGGGTAAAATTTAATTAAACTTCTGGATTTATTACCCTCAATTAACTGTGCCTTCCGGCCTAGTAGACTAAGCAGAAATAAAAATCACCTTCGATGGTAGAGGGTCTCTGCGCTTGCTTCAGAGAGCAAGCACTTACCTTAGCGCTTGTTTCTATGATCAATCTCTCGCCATTTTCTGATACGGTTTTTCATTTTCTGTTAAACATCAAGTGATGCCTCGAGAAAAATTAAAGTTTTCTGTTAATTTTAGCCTTAATCAGTTTCTTAGAACAGAAATATTACTTTTAACATCATATTACTTATGAATTTCAAAATTAATTTATTTTTCCAAATGTCAATCAAATAATTAAAAAAATTTTAATAGATTTTATGAAACTACAAAAGAAAGTATCGAGAAAGGCCTAAAAAACATATGCCATGTACCACACCAAGTAGGTAAAAACGACTGCATGGAATTCCTAAATGGTTTGCTTAAGAATTGGAAGGGTTACTGCTCTATTGATACTGATCAATTAATTTTGGAGAGTGTTGAAGAATTTATTCATTCGATGGATAATCATTGAAACTGTATAAACTTTTGGATTTGTAAATATTGTATATACAAATTTTGTCGGAAGCCGACATGTCGCAGCCTCTTCGCTAGCGACAGTAACCCATAATTCCTCAAATTAGTCACCTTGGTTTGTGACAGGTGATGTCAAAGTTCCAGAATTTCTCTGGAACTAGTTCCAGTTCCAGAACTAGGTTTTTAATTTTAGTAGTTTTAGTTCCAGTTCCGGAACCAGGTTTTTAATTTTCGTAGTTCCAGTTCCAGTTCCGGAACTCCAATTTTAAAACTCCTTAGTTCCAATTCCAGTTCTGGAACTAGTTCCGAGCTAGTTCTAGTTCCAAATTTTAAAATTTTTTTTGAACATGAAAAGATTGATCATTTTTAACAAATAAAGGCATAGGTAATTTAGAAAATCATTTAGTTTTCGGCAAAATCGCATTCACGGGATCCCGTAACGGGATTTTTTTCAATATTTTTTACGGGAGAAGATCCCGCGGGATTAATCCTCTAAATCCCGTAATCCTGATAATCCCGTTCTAAAATTTAGCGGAATATCGGGATTTTCACATAATAGATATCGGGGAGATATGAGGATTTGAAGGGATTAAGGGATTTAAAAGGATATCTGGGGATATTTTTGGTGATATCTGGGTTATAAGAGGATTATGAGTGATAACGGAGGATTTAAGGAGATTGTAGGATAAACTGGAGGATTAAGAGGCCGAAAAAATCCACTTTTCAGCGCCGCAGGCGAAAATTTTGAGAATTTCTAATGTCGAAGGCCTAAAAATCCACTTTTTCAGCGCCGCAGGCGAAAATTTTGAGAATTCTGGAGCTCAAGCAGCCAGATTTCTTCCATACTCAGCGCGCTGCAGGTAATTTTTGAGGAAATTTTGTCAAAAATATACCCCCGAGAACTAGTTCCAGAACTAGTTCCAAAGCTAGTTCCAAATATCTACTAGTTCCGTAGTTCTAGTTCCAAACTGGTTCCAGATAATAGTTAGTTCCGTAGTTTTAGTTCCGGAACTGGAACTAGAACTAATTAGTTCCGGAACTGGAACTGGAACTTTGACATCACTGTTTGTGACATAGTACCCGCTAAATTTACTAAGTTTAATTTATTTTACTTTTAAATTGCTGATCATGATGTAAAGCGAGGATGGGCTGGGTTACACTGAACCTATTCTTTTTTAACGCAAATCCCAATTCTAAGAAAACTTACAAAGCTTCATCCTATATCCGTCATTCACATGTAGATTTTTTTAAAAAGAGGGAATTTGGCTTCTTTGCCTAGACAAATTCTCAAATTTTTCGTCTTTTGTCCAAAGAAGGAAAAATCGGCTTTTTCCATGACCGGCCAATCCATGACATAAAGTTGAAACTCGTTACAAGGCAAGAGTGAGACTATAACGAGTATCAACTATTTTTTGAATTTTATTATGTATTTATTAAAATTATTTATCCTCATTATTGTAGAGCAAACAATTTTGAATTTTTTAAATTTTTTTGATAAAATGTTCAGAAACAAATAAAATATAAAATAATAATCAAAGACAATGGATCAAACGATATCATTTAAGTATGGAGGTAGCTATCTAGATATCTTATATTAAAAACAATGACCTTGATTATTAACTTCGGTAGAGGATCTTGAATCTAAAATTGCTCCTGCAATAATTTTAATGTCTGATCTGAAAAAAATTTCTCATGGTAAAATCAAGAAACACTGAAGGATGCCTTGATATTATCCTGAATCCAGGAAAAATCAAGGTTTGGATCAGGTTTGTTATGTCCGAGGGTTGGCCGATGTTGTCGGTTACAAGAGTAAAGTTTATCCGACGTAGAAATGAACAATATGTGAGCGAAGGGATTGGAGCTGGAACAGAAAGGGAGATCAATGACTAGCCCCGCTAGCATGCTCCAACAAGACTGACGCTTTCACAGGATTTTATACTATCCTTACTATGGTTGTCGGATAGTTGGAAATCTTCGGATATCCGGATCCGATATATGAACCGACTGTGCCACCATCCAACCCGATGATGGGTTATTTATTTTCATTATGTTCCTTCTGCAAGTGCGGACACAACACTCCTTCCGCCTTGCAAAACCAAGCGTCCTCGCTTGTTGCTTGTCTTCTATAACTATCATCTGTTTCGATTTTTGGAGAGAACACACAGAAACCCATTTGTGAAACATCCGGCCTATTTTCGGATCCGGATACACAACCTTAATCCTTACACCATCACACAACACAGATCCAGGCCCACCTCTATAAATTACTATATTAAACTTTAAAACGGAAGTTTTTTTCCAATAATTTACACTTAATCATATCATCTTTCACTGTAATGCCCTTTCCAAAATAAAAGGGCAACTTAACATTCTTGTTTGTATACACTTAAGTGCTTCTTAAAATTGCTTTTTTCTTTATAAAAATTAAGCAATTATTTTTATTTTGTCAATAAAAATTTTTAAAAAATTGCCCTTTTGTCAATAATCATATGCGCAAAGGGCATTTCCATGCGCATTTATAGCTTCGATAGCTTTGCCATTTTTTCATTTTATAAAAAAAATTTTTTTCTATCCCCCCAATAATCAATGAAAAAATTTATTTTAATTAATAAAATTGGCCAAAAATTTATTTAAAGCTTTAAAATTAAAGTTAAAATTAAATTATAGTTATAAGTTCCTGAGACTTCATTATTGTAATTTCAATAGTATAATTCAAAATTCCCAAAATTTTTAATTATAAATTTATAATAAACCTAATAAGCTTTATAAAATACAGAGTGAGTGTTTTTCTGAAATATTTAAATGTGACAAGTGTTATTTTAAATCCCTCCCCCACCCCTCAATAATGCAACTATCAGCCGTATTTATTTATTATTTGATTAATACTAGAATTGGGTTGAGGGGGGAGCGGGTGGATTGGATCTTACCAATCGTTTCAGACCCTCTATAGGAGTCTACAGGATCTCGTTCCGGGATACCTTGTTTTAAGCAAAAAAGGGATTCCAGTACACAAGAATTTTTTTAATTTTAGGGATTTACATCTAGTGAGTCAAAGGGCCGCCTCTCTTCCCATATCTTTAAATCATTCATGAAATTGGGAATTATTTGGGGTTGAGTAATCTCCAAGGAATTATCTATTAAGCATCAACTTTTTTCATATTGTAGGATTATTTAACAATGCCGACGCCTTTAAATGTTGCCAGATACATATGTATTTCTTACATCATCCTTATGAAAATCTAATTCTAAGTGTTTCCCGCATACGTTGATAAATTGCGAAATTAGCACTTTAAATACTTACTTAAGTGTAAAATTTATTATTAGTGATTTTGAAAAATTTTCTCCTTAAAACTTAAATTATTAAATCTCCAACTTTTCAGATTTTACTTTGTAAAAATACCTCATTGAATTTCTAAATGAGATTCATTCTTTTATTTTTAAATATTTTTCTTCTGTTAATGTTATGTATTCAAACGAGCTTTGTTATAGCTACAACTGAAGGTTGGTTAGTGTTGAGGTTAAAGCTCCACTATAAAGTAGTGGAAACTAAGACTATAAATGGAAATCCTCTCTCCTTACCTATCTGACTGTGAGGGAGAGAGAGTGAGAGATAAATTTCATTTAGAAATCTGCCTCATGTGTAGAGAGAGAATGAAGAGGGGTTATCTCTCTCTCTACCCAAGAGGTGAAGAGAGAGGAGGCACTCTTCTCTCCCTCATACATATGGCCCGCTCCCGAAATTTTACTTCGATTCCACCCATCCCCTTGCTCTCAAGAAAATATTTTAAAGCAATAATCATTATCGGTAATCGTTATAGAGAAAGGTTCAACTCGTAAAGTAAGGGTAGTCGCCCTCTTTCTAATAGTCGCCCGTTGCCCATCACTACTAACATAAGAAGTAAAAATGTAATAATTTCTATTTTAGAAGATATTCAAATAGCCAAGACCAACCTCCATGTTGATTCGGCTGTCCATAAATGCTTGAAGGATGCATTTGAAACGCTTGTAAAACTTTTTGAAGATGACGTGGGACCTGTGGCTCATCAAAACCTGGATGAATTGACAGCTGCACCTTACACATCAAATAGAATTGGTGGATTTATTCGTCATTTCACCCGTTCATGGTCGCTTAATGAATCAAGAAATACACATTCTGAATCAAAAAGTGCTCCAGCTTCTCCAAGTGGAAGTGCTCCTGCTTCTCCAAGTGGTTCAAGGCTTGGAGGTGTTAAACAATACGGCCGTTCAGTTTCGTTCAATGAACCGATGCGTACAACAGCATCGAGTTCTTCTTCTCCTTCCTTACCTTCTTCCCCAAATGTGAAAAATGCAGGGGGAGGTGTTTTTGGATTTGTGCGACAATTTTCTTTAAATGCTCCAGTTCAAGCACTCTCACCTAGAGAAAGCGCAAATAAAACTTATAAGCGAACGAACTCCTTCAAATGGAATGAGGGTTTGATTGTGGCAAATGCAACGGCTTATTTAAGTGTTGAAATCAAAAATTTGAGAGGTTCTTGAGGGGAACAGGCCAAGGTACCGCGAGCCTAAGGTACGACAAAGCTGTAACCTCGTCAAAATTCTCGAATCCGGCACGCCCTACTATGGCTTGATTCAACTAGTTGAGATGCATCAACTCACACTAGGGCGTCCCGGATTCGACGATTTTGTACGAACTACCTTGGGCTTGCGGTACCTTGGAGTGTACCCTTCTTGAGTACATCTTAAAAATAATCTCCAACTTTTCAGAAATTTTGGATAAAATTTATGAAACATTCGAGGATATTCCCGATGAATTAAAAAACAAAGTTCCCTTCAATTTGAGAGAGAATAATTTTCCATATATTATTAACCGTCAATTAATATTTAACTTGGATACGTGGTTAATGAAATTTGAAGGGAGTTCACAAGAGAATAAGGAATATAATTTGTGTGGTTATTTTTACCTTAATGAAAAAGAGAGGATTTTAGAAGAACTCAATGCACTTTTGGTTGATGAAT